GTGGAAATACAAAGGCTTGGAACAGTTTATTCATCCAACCCGATACTGTGCGCTTTTTTCTTTCTTGTTTCAAAGAAATGCATTATCAATCCATTAATGTCCTTAAAAGCCTGACCTCTGACCTTGCTTTGCTTCATGTCTGTGTTGTAGNTTCTAGAAAACATGGTCAGGATGTATGGCGTAAGCAAGAGTGAGTTACTTGACCGTGAATCTGAAGATCCTGCTGTACGCCTTGCTTTGGGAGAAACAAAAGTGATTGCAGAGACCAAAGAAGCACTTGCTAAAGCTGGAGTAAATGTCACTTCTTTGGAAGAATTTGCTACAGGGAAAGGCAAAGAGAAGATCCGAAGCAATCATATCCTCTTAGTGAAGAATTTGTCATTTGCTACTTCTGAAAAGGAACTGGCTCAAATGTTTGGAAAATTTGGAAGTCTAGACAGAATTATTCTCCCTCCCACAAAGGCGATGGCCTTGGTATCTTTCTTTCTATCTATATATGTGTTCNTTCTACTTCGATACAATAGTTGATTGTTCTCTAACATGTCCTTGCATGACCCTTCAGGTTGTTTTCCTTGAACCTACCGAGGCACGTGCAGCTATGANGAAAATGGCATACAAGCGTTACATGTAAGATTCACCATTATCGTTTATGTGCTTCTTGGAGATAGATGACGGTGCTAGTTAAACCAAGCTGGTTCACCACATTTCTCTATTATTACAGAGATGCTCCNCTGTATCTGGAGTGGGCTCCTGAAGATATTCTTGAGCCGAAAACACTTTCCGGTAACAACGAAAAGAAGATTGATGTTGGAGAAAATGTTTTGAGAAGAGCCAACCTTGAGCAGCAGTTTGGAATGGATCTGGATAGAACTGAGGTTTGTCAAGTTATGATAGCTGCAAAATACTGTGTATTCATATGTTCTTCCTATAAATAATTCATTACATTGCAGTCAAATGTTCTTTATATTAATAATATGAGCATCAAGACAAGTGATGAGAGTTTGAAGAAGCATTTGACTGAACTGATGAAGAAGCAGGGAAAGATTATGAGTGTCAAGGTAAAGTTCTTGTCCATTGCTAAACACATGATGTGCTCTTTCTTAACCATGAAGTCTTTTTNAAAAAAAAAANTCCTTTATTTTTCCTGATATGCAGATTATAAAGTATCTAAAGGATGGAAAAAATCGTTCAAGCAGTTATGCTATTGCAGAATTNGACTCTGTAGAGACAGCGACCAGTGTCTACAGAGACTTACAGGTACATATATGGCTCTTGGAAACTTAAAGTTGATTAGAGACTTTACAA